GAAACGTTTCTACTCTATTTTTTACCGCGGCTGATAGCTGGGCCAAGTACTGGTGGTTTAACTTTTTAGCCCAGCTACTCATGATTTTATCAGTGGATAACTAGGGCGCAGGCACGATTTCATTTTTAAATTCACTTCGGGCATCCCTCAAATACAACAGATCCCCACCCAACCCTAAAGCTGGGTTGTATACATTCACGATTAGTGACTGAAACACATTTTCAAACTGAAAACTGTGACAGCACCCTAGTTTTCCCTTTCATCCGGCTGTTTGATCCTTTTGCTCGCGCGGTCACCTTGCTTGGTTTGAGCATCTTTACTGCTCACACACTCTTGGTTTCCTGAATTGCTGTGGCTGTGTCAAGGTGTTTAGACCACCAGTACCTCGGGGGGGGGAAAAAAAAAATGACCACCAGTACCTCGTCCACACACTGGCTGTGGGCCCCTCACCACGACTTTTGGACAACCCCCTAAACCCTGAACCCTAAACCCTAAACCCACGACCCCCTAAACCCTGAACCCTAAACCCTAAACCCACAACCCCCTAAACCCTGAACCCTAACCCCTCAACCCTAAAGTGCAACTTTCGGACGACCTGGTCCGAAACGTGACAACGGCAGGCAACGAAATTTATCAACGACGGCCCAGCGCCGACGATAGTTGCGGCCGGTAAGCCACGACCACTACCTTTCCCACTGTTGGGAAACGGGAAAAGGCTCTGCTCCTACAAAGTCGGAGGCGGGGCCAGACTACGCCAATGACAAATCTCGTCGGCGGCCGTCGTTTCGTTTCGGTCTCACAACGATTCAGGGGCCTATCGGCAGCGTGCATGGGAACCGTAGTTGTGGTTTAAACCGCCATATCGGCTCGGGGCCGAATTCACCCTGTGCGCCATGAAAACGCAAAGCAACACGGACGTGTCTCCCCAGCCCCGCCCACCACTTTGCACCGGTAATGAATTTCCCTGGCAGTTCTCTTGCACAGTGTCTCGCCGGCCCCGCCAGCACATCTCTGAAGCAGTGGTGACAGTATGCAACAAAACAAAAGAAAAGAGAGAAGAAAAGGAAGTGGTTTGATGAATTTCTTTTTCTTTTGGAAATTCAGGACTGGAGGCCTTGCGACCCTTGAATTTGCAGCTCTATATATATATATATAAATAAAAAAGAATTTGCAGCTCCTTCACGTTGTTTTCTCTTTGGGGGGGCAAGTATGTTGGAGTCGCACCCAACGCCCAGAATAGGCCTATTCTGGGCGTTGGGTGCGACTCCAATATACTTCAGCTGCTTCAGCAGTTCTTGAAATTATGGTGCAAAGAAGGCAACCCCCCTAAATCTGCCAAGCACAACTGGGGTTAATGACTGGTGCACTTTTAGACCCCCGGTAAACTTGCACATTTCAAAACTCACACCATGACACCGGCGCCACCATGACACCGGCGCCACCATGACACCGGCGCCACCATGACACCGGCACCACTTTGCCTTCTCTTGCCTATTTCAGATAGACTGGAGCATTTGTTCACAAAA